CCTTAATCTATGAATCTATGAATCTATGAATCTATGAACAAACTCAGGACACAATTTTCTGCAAACACAATTCAAATTTGATTGTTTCACTTCATTCCATGCCTCACCAATGTTCTTAACTCTCCCCTGTTGTTTCTTTAGATCATCATAAAGACTCCTAGCCTTTTTTCCTGAATTATGCCTGACTCTCAGGAGCACGGCATTGATTTTGATCCTCCAGCCAAACGATTAACAGTTTCTCAAACTGAGCAATAAGTCCAACATGCTGCTTAGTTATCACAGTTGACTGCATAGGAGCTGAGCCCTTAACACGTTCCTAAATTCTTACCTTGTCTTTGGATATCCCCATAATAGTTGTTTGGGAGATATCCAAAGCGCTACTGACTTCAGTTGCTGTCTCACCTTTTTCAGACGTCTTAATTATTTCCATTTTTGTTTCCGTAGTAATTGCTCTACATTTCTTAGAAACATCACTTGCAGCAGATTTACACTTTTCTGCCATTTTTATGGGCAAAGAAACACTAAATTTTAAGAAAAAGGTTGGAAACACAAAGATTCACCACATAAAAACTGCATCGGAACAGCAACTGAGCATCTTGAGTCAGGGCAGTGCAGTGCGGTGGATCAGCATAGGGAAATGGGCAGTGCAGCAAACGTTTGGTGGTGTGGCATGGCGTTGGATCAAGAGTCGTAAAGTGGGAACCAAAGTCGGAAAGTCAAAACAGAGCATCAATTTATAAATGTTGAGTGCCATTCGTCAAAACTCGAACTTCGTAAAGTCAAAGACTGCCTGTACTAACTTTATAGTTGGTTGCTATCTAGCTTTATAGCATGTATGGCACAGTCTCTCCTGCAACTGGGAGAGACCATAGCAGCTGTGATCTCCCAGACATGACGGCTTCACACTCCCCATGGCCGAGAGATTGTAGCAGCTGCAATCTCCCAATCATGGGGTCGCTCCATGCATCCTGCATCCTCCAGCTGGGAGAGTATAGCAGCAATAATCTCCCAACCACAGGGGGCTCCACAGTCCCTACGGCTGGGAAATAGTAGCTGCTACCATTTCCCAGCCATGAAAAACGTGGTATGCACACAATGCACATGTGGTATTGTACCAGCAATAAGATATGTTGGGATCTACTGCGCAACCCGATAATCTTGCCCCCTGCCATGCACATGTGGGAGAGCAGGAGGCACAACTGTGTAGATCACACATTAGATCCTATTGCGCCTTTACCTGCACATTTGGAGGGGCCCTTAGCAACTGAGGTCAGACACTACTAACAGTTATTTTACTTAAATTCAAAGCAATATTAAAATAATCTGTTTTGATTCAAAATTTTACTTCCTGTGGCTTACATTTGTAACCAAAATAACATCAGGGGATGGGAAAGGACAGAAAGCAAATGAAAATATGTACACTATCTTCTTTTGTGGTTCAGAAATACCTCCAAATGTCATATTAACTTCATGATTACTGATGAATATAGCTACTCCTTTTCCCAAAAAATCCAGTAAGGTATATAGACTCCAGTAAAACAGTTTAAAGTTTCCTCTAAAAGTTGGTCTGACTATACAATAAAATACTAACATAGTTTGTTAGTGTATTATGGACAAAAACTAGGCAAAGTCAACACACTTTATACTTACTGAGCCAATGCCATCCATCAGTGTTAGCAACGAAGCTACGACTCTCTTTTCAACTTCATTCTGAGCTCCTTCTCTCTTTGGACACAGTGCATCCAGTTCATCTATAAATATAATTGAGGGGCAGCTGAAAGAAGAATAAGTAAAAGCAATTTAATCCATCCAATGTACATATCCAAAAGATTTACATGGAGATTTGCAAAACTGTCTGACGAATACAGATACCAAAATTCTCATTAATTTTAATGGGTTTCTGAAACCTTCAGCCCCAAGACCTGGTTCAACTCTAAGACGTGAATCCATAAATTAACAGCATTGTGTGCTCCCATATTTACTGTCTCTCAAAGATGAGATATTCACTTTGCTCGCTTCACAAAGATAAAGGTGCCTTTTTTAATTGCCATCACTAAAAAAAAAAAAATCAGCCTAGGACATAAAGTCATGCTGGGTTCCTTTTTGCTAACATATCACCAGTAATAAAAATCCTGCAATCTAAATTCTGCCCTCAGGTCATTTTGGCCTCCAAGTTTTTCTATCTGAGAAACCATATACCGTCCCACCAACCTCCAATTATACAACCTTTGGATTGTACACTACAATCCAAAGGAGTATAAAAACAGCCTTTATGGACATCTCCAAGCTCACTTTAAGTTAGCTAGCTCTTATTAGCACAAAAACCAGACCTGACTAGCTGCCCAAGTATTTATCCAGGGTTTTGGATAGGTTTTGCAGTCTGCATAGAACCCTATCCTGTCATAGCTTCACTGTCATTAGCAGGGATCCAGGTTTTCCATTTCCTGCAGAAAAGCAGAAAAAAGTGTGGACTTTCCCTTTTAACTGAGAAAAACATGGATTTTCAACTTTTGCATATTGCTGTCAGCAGGCTGGCAGAGTTCCAACCTGCAAGGGTCTGGGGGCAGTGGGAGGATGGCAGTCAGGCAGGCGGTACCACGTGCATGTACATGGAGAGCAACTCCCGCAGGTAAATCTGGTAGGGGGGAGGGAAATAGAGACCCCCATAGGGAGGAAGGAAGGGAGCTGGCAGGTCTGGAGCTGCTGCCCAGCCAGGTGGTGCATGGGGCTTGGGGTCCAGGGTCATGTGCAGCCACAGGGCACAGGTGAGGAGCAGGAAGGGGCCACGGGTGGCTCATCTCAGGGACAGGGTAGGCCAGCTCACCACCACTGCATGCACTCCCTGGGGGGGAGGGGGGGCACATGCCCCCAGATCTGTGTGCAGGGTGGGGGCAAGTGTGGGCTGCCTGCTGTGGGCTCAGGCTTCACACGCTCCTGTCTCCGCCAGGAGCAGGGCAGAGCCAGGGGGGCAGTTCATCCAGAGGGCGCCGGGGGGTGGATCCCTGCTGCTGTGCACCCCCCCGGGGAGGCATGGGGGTCATGTGCCCCCCCCAGATTTGTGCACGGGGTGAGGGCAGACTGCCATCTGTGGGCTTGGGGCCAGGGGCTATGCCGGCCTCTTCCCAGCAGGGAGGCTGGGCCAGGGCCGCGCTTTGGGCAGGCAGGTACAGCGCTGAGAGGGGTGGGTATGGGTTGAGGGGAGTTATGGCAAATTCTGGGGTGGGCATAGCCCACCCCGTATTAACCCCTCCCAGCACCACAGCCATCTGCCCCGATCACAGCCCTGGCCCAGCCTCCCCACAAGAAAGAAGATGGCACAGCCACTGGCCCCGAGCCCACAGCGGGCAGCCTGCCGTTGCCCTGCACACAATCGAGGAGGGTACTTCCCCCCCCCACCCCCATTCCTGCCCTGGGGATGCACACAGCACTGGTGAGCCACTTCCCCCAAGCCCTCACGCACCCCAGACAAGGCACCCATGGCTCTGCCCCACTCCCAGCAGAGTTGCATTCACTGCCCAGCTGGGCAACGCCTACCCCTGCCCCTTCCCCACTCTCTCCCTCACCACGTGGGCCTTTATCTGCCCCTTCCCTCCCCCAAATCCCTTCCCAACAGACTTAGCAGCTGGACACTGCTCGCCAGGCTGCATTCCTGGCCACGTGTATGCTGCGTCTGCACATATGCACACTGCATTTAGCAGTGACATTATCAGCTACGCTGGCCAAAAAAAAGTTAATTGCCAATAATGTTAATTTTCCTTTTATTGGTGCCGATCTGATATGCCATTGATATATCAGTGCACCTCTAGCTGTGGGTGGGGGGTGAGGGGCACCAGCAGAGCTGGGGGGCTGTGGCTTGGGGGTGAGGGGCCTGGACCTGTGTCCTGGTGAGAGAAGGGGGCAGGGAAAGCTCTGATTTTCCATGATAAAAAAACCCCAAATCAAATGC